GTATCTTCCTTGGCTGTATCTTCCTTGGCTGTATCTTCCTTGGCTGTATCTTCTTTGGCTGTATCTTCTTTGGCTGTATCTTCTTTGGCTGTATCTTCCTTGGCTGTAACTTCTTTGGCTGTATCTTCCTTGGCTGTATCTTCTTTGGCTGTATCTTCTTTGGCTGTATCTTCTTTGGCCGTATCTTCCTTGGCTGTATCTTCCTTGGCTGTATCTTCCTTGGCTGTATCTTCTTTGGCTGTATCTTCTTTGGCTGTATCTTCTTTGGCTGTATCTTCCTTGGCTGTAACTTCTTTGGCTGTATCTTCCTTGGCTGTATCTTCCTTGGCTGTATCTTCCTTGGCTGTATCCTCTTTGGCTGTATCTTCTTTGGCTGTATTCACTTTATTATCGTTAATTGGATTCTCTTTTATTGCATTCACTTTATTATCGTCAATTGTATTCGTATTCACCTCAATAGATTTATTAATATTATGTATTTCCTATATTTGAAACCGTTAATTTTTAATATATTATCTTGTAAGATATTATAAGAAATACTTTACCTTAACCGATCCTGCGGTCTCTTGTTCTCTTAGTTTGAAGGAAATAATGATGAAGCTCCATAGTATGAAAATTAATATAAATTTAAATATGTTGTTTTTTGTTATATATCCAAATATTGTAGTTTTTAAGTTGCTAGGTTTTGATATCATTTTATTTATAGACGTTTAATGCTTTATCATATTTTGTTATATTTAACAAATGCTTTTTCAATAAAAATTTAACAGTATAAAATGATTTTTTTTTCTATTTATCCATTTTATTTCTTACCATACTCCAAACGCGTTGAACGTTGATTGAATGAATTCAATGGTCATGACGAAGATGATTAACAAATTTAAGTATCATAATGGAGTGTTAAAGCTAATATGAATATCAACATGATATGGGACAAGAAGGTAAATTTAAAATCCGTACCATACTATGTTAGGGTTATGAATTGTGTTTAAAATAGGTGCTGTGCATCCCTGATCCAACAAACTCATGATCATCAGAAATTAGTATGGGCAGATCAGTGCGTATAGCAGGACCCCGGGATCTTTGCTAGGATTTTTTTTTTCTAAAAATAGATTTATTATGTTTTTCTTAATAAAAATCTTGTATAACAATGGCTCGTAGGGTCATTTTGCTAGCAAAGATCCCATATGGGAATTTCTTGGCTTTTCATCCACTTTTTCTGAATTTTGACTGGCTAAAAAAAAATTTAACCAATCAGAATTCGGAATTTCGGCTAATTTTAGCCATTTTTCATATGTAACCTTTGTTAGAATTATTCGGAGTCCTAGATCAACTAATATATGAGTGCTGCGGAGCGAAAACCTGTAAATGATCATGATGATTTACTATTACTACAGTGCTTTTCAAATTACTGTGATCAGCAATTCCACGTATCACACCGGAAATCAGGAATCTAGAAAAAAATGCAATTCTATGCTTGGTAGAATAATTTTTAGCAAATCATAGATTGGCATTTTTTCTAGATTCCTGATTTCCGGTGTGATACATGAAATTTGTTGCTCACAGTAATTTGAAAAGCACTGTAAAATATTCCATTCACTAAACTCTCATACGAAATTTCTAAATAGATTAATATATAGAATGTCGAGGCAATTTTTTCTACAAAAAATTGAAAACTTAAAATTGTATCTCCTTGAGATTCCACATATTAATCTATTTGGAAATTTCGCGTGAAAGCATAATGGATAGTAAATTTTAATGAAATAGAGAGCTTTTTTCATAATCTAAAAATAATTAAAATTTTATCGAAATTTTACTGTTGCTGCAGCATTTTTATTATTAACATGAATGTAATAATTCATTATTTTTCAGGTTATGAAAAAAAGTTATCTATTTCATTAAAATTTGCTATCCATCATGCTTTTACGCGTATAGATTAATATGTAGAATGTCGAGGAAATACAATTTGAAGTTTGCCGTGAAAAATTGTCATATATTTTCTCGATATTCTATATATTAATCTATTTAAAAATTTTGTATGAAAGTATATTTTGATGTAATAGAAAGATTTTTTTCATAACACGAAAATAATAAAAAGACTGAAATTTATCGAAACTATACTACTGCCGCAGTAGTTTATTATGAATGTTAAACAAAAATTATTTACCGTTACTATGTGAGTGCTGGAGAATGAAAACCTGGAAGTGAATATTTAAGTTTCCACTGTGGCGAACTTAACCCCTGAAACATCATGAGTTACGTATTGGTATTGATAATCGGTGTCTTATTTTTTTCATTTCTACCAAGAATCTAGAATCTAGATTCCTGTTGAAGATGAAAAAATCAAACACCGATCATCAATACTAATACCAATACGTAACATCATAATGTTTCAAGGGTTAAGTTCGCCACAGTGAAAACTTAGATTTCAAGGTTTCATTCTCCAGCACTCATTAGTTAGTGATGTCCGAAAAATTTTACCGTTTTGTGTAATCTGAACTTCCCTGTTTTCATAATTCCTGGGACACCTGTAAAAATTAGCCGAATGATTTTTCAGCCGCGGTTAAGTTATTATTTCGGCACAATAGATGTACAGTACGTACCAATTTTTATTGAATCTATTATACCGAAATATTAACTTACCCGGATCGGCCGAAAAATCATTCGGCCAATTTTTTACAAGTGTCCCAGGAATTATGAAAACAGCTGAAATTACAGCTGTTCTGGAAGGCAAAAGTTGACCGACCGAATCGGTCGGTCAACTTTTGCCAAATTTTCCAGAATTTATGAGAACTGCTGTAATTATGCCCGAAAATCAAAGTTTGGTGATAAACCCGCTAACCGATTAACTATTTAAAGTTGCTCGGATCGTAATTTGCTATACTATTGGCTTGTATTAGGCTTGTATTAGTGCTTCGCAGGTCCGATTCGAGGTCCGAATCTGAATTGTCGCCCTATAAAAAAAGTCGATCCGTGTTTTATATTCCGTGTTTTGTCCATAAATGTTGCAATTTACGAAGTTTTCACAAAAAATATAGAGAAATAACGGAAAAAATTTTTTACAGGGTCGAGTCGAATTCCGGAAGCTCGGTTTACACAAAACTGTAAAATTTTTTGGACATAACCTCTAGCGTTAATTTGTGTAAGCTTCGGTAAAGTGGTTTTCTTGTAATTTGTAAGAAATGTGATCATACTATCATATTATTTCATGTGATTGGTAGTTCGATAATACTAGCTAAGTTTTTCATAATGCTGGTACTTTATATCACGTGTGAGATTTGCATGAAATCCATGTTACTGAAACTTACGCAAAATTACATGAAATGTAAGTTTGTAAAAATGTAATTTTCAACCCTTAGTATAGAGAAAATCAGTATACGTAGTACAGGTCAATTTCTGCTAATTTAGATACTGATTCGTTATTATATATGAGTGCTGTAATGTAATAGAGTTTTTTTTATAATAAAAAACTGAAACTATACTATTGCCATATGATGAATCTACACAAAAATCTTTACTAATTGATTTTCACATGGGATACCGATACATAATAGACTTGATTTACAGTGCCAACGTTAGCGTGCTTGAAATAATATAGGCGATCATACGCTAAATAACGGGTTTCCACCTCAATATTGACTAACATATAATGGCTTATACAAAAATGGAAATGAAAGTTATTTATACTGAATAAAATTAATACGTACCGATACCGATACCGATACGTAGAAAAATTCAATAGGTTAGTGATTTAACCATTCATGTAACCAGAGCTTCCGGACTTACAGCTATTATCATAATTCCTGGGACACCTGATAAAAATTAGCCGGATGATTTGTCGGCCGATGAGGTTAAATTTATGATTTCGGCATAATTGATACACGTACGTACTAGGGGTCTGCAAACGCCCGTGCTGGCACATAGGCACCATGCCAGGCGCCAGTGCCTCGTGCTGTGCCAATGCCTATAGGTACAAAGGCACCAGGCAATTTTAGGCTGGAACTTTTGTGCCGTGCCCACAAAGATGTAAAGTTTTTTTTTACGTAAGTTTAGACCATTTTTATGTTAGGTAATTCGTGCTTATAGGTGCCTGTGGGCACAAAAGTCCCAACAAAAACTTTACAGCACGAAGTGAAAATAGTTACGGGCACAAAGTGCCAGGAGTGAAAATGCCGGGCACGAGGCATGTGCCGGGTATGCAGAACCCTAGTACATACGTTAGAGTTGTTACCCGGGTCAGAAAATTGTAACCCGGATCAAAGTAATTCGGGTCAAGGGTCAACCCGGTCATAACCCGGGTCAACGGGTCAAATAGGCAAAATCCAAAATCTGATAAATTTTTCGCTACAAATTAACTAAAGTCGAATAAATAATACAAAGATTGCGCAGGATTGGTATAATAAAAGGACTAGGCTTAGTTAATTGCAGGATTGATAAGGTTTGAACAATTAACATTTCCATAAAGCAAGGGCGCCTTAATCAATATGCCAAGAAGTAAATTTTAATTAGCGAAAATTACTTTTCTGATTATGCCGAAATTAATAACTTATCGATCAACAATTTTTATAATTATTTACAGCTGTTCTCATAAATTTGGGACATCTGGTAAATAATTGACCGAATAATTATTTGGCCGATTCGATTAGTTATTGATTTCAGCATAATCAATGTAACGTTTGTTATTTACGTAGATAGGTACGTACGTATATTTTTAAACTGAAAATTAAAACTCGCGTGAAAATATCAAATACCACAAGGCTTTAAACGACTTCCATTTTTACGTCCTAACCAAAGTTCCATCTCTGATTGTAATTCATAAAACACCAGTCAGGCTTTCTTCTATTTAAGCCTTAAGATATTTATATCATTCAGGTTTAGTGGGCGTGGTTTTTTTACAAGTGACGGAAGTCTTTCAACACATCCATACCTTAGATATTGAAAATCTGCTAACATCTAAGTGTTTAGCAATTGTTCGAACTGGTAATTCTTCTAAAGTTTTTTGACTATTTTCCAGCGAATGTCTTCAAAAATTTCATATTTAACCAGTGTTATATCGATATTGATTCAGGTTATTATCAGTTAAAATTGTCCGTAAATAATATGTTTCACATGAGTATTAATTTACAAATCGATTAGTAATCAATTTAGCTGTTAAACTATCTACGCAAATATTAAACGTTACACTGATCATGCCGAAATCAATAACTTATCGAATTGGCCTAGCAGATGTTCCAAAATTTTGATATAAACTTACACTAACCTTTTTTGACCCAGATCAACATGATAATGACCTGTGACCCGTCAAATTTGCTGACCCGCACAGGTTGGCTCTACCCGGGTAACATCTCTATGTATATATCAGGTACGTAAATTTACATACGTACGGTGCATACAAGCTAAAGACAGATGGTTATACAAGCCTGTTTCAAATTTTAAAATATGCATCTGGCCTTAAGATTTTAGGTCCGGAGCCAATCAAATCACTGTAATTTGTTACACAAAATTTTATAAAAACAAAACTTTTTGTGTAATTAATTTTTTAACCAATAAAATTATATATTCAATTCACGTGATGTTTCAAATTTGTACTATTTACTAATAGCAATTAGTAATAATAAGTAACTTTAAACTGTTATAACTTTTTTAATACTTGGAATTTTTGAAAAAATTTAATTGTTATTAGATTTGTTTAAGTCTAATCTATTAAATAATGATGAGTTTTTGACAAATAATTTTTTTTAATAAAAGTAGTAGCCATTTAAAAATATCTCAGGTCAAATATAAAAACATAAGCTTTTAAATCATCTTTGCTGATG